TCACTCGAATGAAGTTCCTGGTTTCCAACAGTTTCTTCAGACTAGAAACCCTTTCTTATCGAAAGATGATGGTTTTATCAAAGATGTGTGGGTACATGCATTTGATTGTGTATTTCCTAAACTGCCCCTACCTGAGGAAACGGATAACACCTGCACTGGGAAGGAAGAGCTGGAGACACTTCCTGGAGCTTTTTTTGAAATGACCATGAGTAGCCGTAGCTATGGTGTATATAATGCCGTCTATGCAATAGCACATGCTATACAGGCCATGAGGTCATGTCAGTTCAGACAAAGAGGAATTGTGAATGGACAGACAGCATTTCTTCAAGATGTGCAGCCATGGCAGGTAATGTAGCATATTTCTCAATTCTCATATTATAAATTAGCAATTGTGTAATTATTGTATTTTATTAAATCCTTTGAGCAACTCTTCTGTAAGGTTTTGGGATCCATTCCTACATATGACCTAGGAATCTGTGTGAAAACTGCCTCATATTTAGAACAAGGAAAACAGTAAGAATAGTATGTTTCTGTTGTGTTGTTTATCAGGAACAGTAGTTGTAGTAGTAGTTGTTGTTGCAGTAATGTCCATTGAGAGACATTTTGGTACAGTTGTTAAGGCAGCAGACTGGAAACCAGGAGACCAGGAGTTCTACTCCTGTCCTAGGCCAAAACTAGCTCGGTGACCTTGGGCCAGTCACTTTTTTTCAGCCCTAGGAAGGAGGCAATGGCAAACCACTTCTAAAACTTTGCCAAAAAAACTGCGAGAACTAGTCCAAGACATCACCAGGAATCAACACTAACTTGAAGGCACAAAAAATAATTTACTTTAATATATAAAACTTAGTGATGATGATGAATTCTTCCAGGATAGAACTGGTTCTGGTTCGGTAGTTTGGGGACTTTTTCCTTATTTGGTGCTTTGAGCCCTGTTTTACAGCATAATCCATCACGGGTTCTTCATTCTCCCATAAGATTTTTAGACTAGATATGTGGAAAAATTTGTCTGGTCATACTTTAATCCATTCTTATTTTCCTGTCTAAACTGAAGATTCTTATTTCAGTTTTGAAATTTGAATTGCAATGGAGAATTACTCACTGGTTCATTTGTGTATTTGGGAGGGTGCTGGAAGGACAATTTGAACTGGGGTTTTCTACTGCTTACCTGCAGTCAAATCTGACTGATGTGAGCATTATTGAATAGAGATTTATTACTGTTTTTTGTATCCCTTTCCATTTTTAGATTTAATAGGTAATTTTTCACTGTTGTACCTTCATGAACA